AAAGACAACCCTCAGAATGGGAGAAAATATTTGCAAATGAATCAACAGACAAAGGGTTAATCTCCAAAATATACAAACAGCTCATGCAGCTCAATATTAAAAAAAGAAACAACCCAATCTAAAAATGGGTAGAAGACCTAAATAGACATTTCTCCGAATTAGACATACAGATGGCCAAGAAGCACATTAAAAGCTGCTCAACATCACTAATCATTAGAGAAATGCAAATCAAAACTACAATGAGGTATCATCACCTCACACCAGTTAGAATGGGCATCATCAGAAAATCTACAAACAAGAAATGCTGGCAATGGTGTGGAGAACAGGGAACCCTCTTGCACTGTTAGTGAGAATGTAAATTGATACAGCCACTATGGAGAACAGTATGGAGGTTCCTTAAAAAACTAAAAATAGAATTACCATATGACCCAGCAATCCCACTACTGGGCATATACCCAGAGGAAACCATAATTCCAAAAGACACATGTGGGCTTCCCTGGTGGTGCAGTGGTTGAGAGTCCGCCTGCCGATGCAGGGGACACGGGTTCGTGCCCCTGTCCGGGAAGATCCCACATGCCGCTGAGCAGCTGGGCCCGTGAGCCATGGCCGCTGAGCCTGCACGTCCGGAGCCTGTGCTCTGCAACAGGAGAGGCCACAACAGTGAGAGGCCCGCGTACTGCAAAAAACAAAACAAAACAAAAAAAAGTGCACCTGAATGTTCATTGCAGCACTATTTACAGTAGCCAGATCATGGAAGCAAGCTAAATGCCCGTCTACAGATGAATGGGCAAAGAAAATGTTTATATATATATATATATATATATATATATAATATATATATAAAATGGAATATTAGCCATCAAATGGAGCGAAATTGGGTCATTTGTAGAGACGTGGATGTATCTAGAGACTGTCATACAGAGTGAAATAAGTCAGAAGGAGAAAAACAAGTATATTAGCGCATATATGTGGAACCTAGAAAAATGGTACAGAGAACCGGTTTGCAGGCCAGAAATAGAGACACAGATGTAGAGAACAAGTGTATGGACACCAAGGGAGGAAAGTAGTGGTGGGGTGGTGGTGGTGGGATGAACTGGGAGACTGGGATTGACATGTATACACTAATATGTATAAAATGGATAATAAGAACCTGCTGTATAAAAAAATAGATAAAATTAAAAAAAAAAAACTGAAATGTAAGTCCTCCTCCCTGACCAGAATCTTGATTCCTCAGTTCCCTTCTCTATAGGGGAATTTCTTGTCTATCTTTCCATAAATATTTTAAAATTCTGGCACCGAGCACTAGCTCAGATCTTAGGGTATGATCTCCTTGCATTCTTTTTTCCCATACACAAATGAGGACTATACAGTACTATTCTGCTTTTTTAAAAAAGAAAGAAAGAAAGAAAAGATGCTGAACATCACTAATCGTCAGGGAAATGCAAATGAAGACCACAACGAGATATCACTTCATACCCGTTTGGCTTGTATCAAAAAGAGAACAAATAGCAAGTGTTCATGAGGACGTGGATAAAAGGGGAACCCTTCTGCTCTGTTGGTGGGAATGTAAATAGGAGCAGTCACTATGTGAAAATAGTATGGAGATTCCTCAAAAATCAAAAGTAGAACTACCATATGATCCAGCAATTCCACTCCTGGGTATTTATCTGAAGAAAAGGAAAACAGTAATTCAAAATGATACATGCACCCCTGTGTCTATTGCAGCATTATTTATAATAGCCACGATATGGAAGCAAGCTAAGTGCCCATCAGCAGATGAATGGATAATGATGATGTGTTTACACACACACACACACACGCACGCAGATACATGCATATACAGTGGAATATTACTGAGCCATAAAAAAGATTGGAATCTTGCCATTTGTGGTAACATGGATGGACCTGGAGAGTGTTATGCTTAGTGAAATAAGTCAGAGAAAGACAAATACTGTATGATTTCAGTTACATGCGGCATCTAAAATACTAAATAAGTGAACAGACATAATTAAAGAGAAACAGTCATAGAGAGAACAAACAGGTGGTTGACAGAGGGGAATGGGATGGGAGGAGGAGAGAAATAGGTGAGGGAGATTAAGAGGTACAAATTTTCAGTTACAAAATAAATGAGTCACAGGTATGAAATGTACAGTGTGGGGAATATAGTCAATAACTACGTGATATCTTTGTAATGATGACAGATGAAAATGAGACATATCATGGTGATCACTTTGAAATATATAGAAATATCGAATCACTAGGTTGTATACCAGGAACTAATAGTATTGCAGGTCAATTATACTTCATAAACAAACAAACTCATAGAGAAAGATCAGATTTGTGGTTACCAGAGTTGTGGGGTGGTGGGAAGGGGAATTGGGTGAAGGTGGTCAAAAGGTACAAACTTCCAATTACAGGATAAGCAATTACTAGGGATGTAGTGTATAACATGATAAATATAATTAACAGCTATATGTTATATGTGAAAGTTGTTAAGAGAGTAAATCCTAAGAGTTCTCATCACAAGCAAAACATTTTTTTTTCTATTTCTTTAATGTTTTATCTATATGAAATAAACTTATTGTGGGATTCATTTCGTGTTTTATGTAAGTCAGATTGTTAGGCTGTACACCTGAAAGTTATACAGTGCTGTATGTCAATTACATCTCAATAAAACTGGAAGAAAAAAATTTTAATAAGTAAATAAAATAACTTAGAAAATGGATCTAGCAGGAACTGTGACCATTATGCATCTATACTGTCTAAATAACTAAGGTAATCATATGGCGTGTTTTCATTTCCATTATTTAACAGGACCCTTTTTAGACCTCCTTTAGATAATGGAGTCATAAATTCTGTCCTTTATCCTTACTTTGGAAACTCCTGCCCTTCTTTGGCCATATCCTTCAAGGGTTTTATTTAAATTCCCTCTACAGATAATGAGCATTATAAAATTCAATTTTTCAAAGAGGAAATATGGAGTAATGTTTGATATTATGTGGGAAGAATTTAATGAAAAGAAGTATAGAATTTGAGAGGTTAGCCTTATCACAGTCTATATGAAATTAAATAACTTGGGCACAATAGTGTGGCTGGAGAAAAAGGAAAGAAAACAGTATTTCTCTTAGTCTCTTTGTAGTTCTCTATACAAAGCTTATGTTCCTACATTGGCACTACTACCATTGTGGTTAGAAAATTAGAAAGCAGAAGAATCATCCATGTTTTCACAAATATTGTTCCTGCAAAATAAAATGGCAGGCCATCTCTAGGCCTCGTACTTCCAGAGTCCAAACGACATAAAATTTATAGAAGAGAATTTTCTAAAATATAAGGAATCACTGTAGGTGATTATCTGTAGAAAGCACAACACTTGGAATTTTAATGCTGAATACGCTACTGGATATAACTGCAATACTATAGTAAGTAAATTAATCCCTGTGCTGTAGGAGTTATGATCTAATAAAGATATGACCAGTCACTATAATACGACCCTTCACAAGTCACTATAATGCACTATAATGCAAAGCCCTGGTGGGCTTTCCATAGACCATATATAGGATTTAGACGAAAGTAAGTTTACTTCAGGCTCATGTTATAGAGAAATATATGAATTTTTTTTAGGGTAGAACTTAACTAGACAGATGGGAGGAAATTTTTTTCTTTTTTAATTTTCTTGGCCACGCTGTGCAGCATGTGGGATCTTAGTTCCCCAACCAGGGATTGAAGCTGAGCCCCTTGCATTGCGGAGTCTCAACCACTGGACAGCCAGGGACGTCCGGGGAGGAAATTTTTTTAACTGTTAGAATTTGTAATTGCTCAGAAAGGCGCAGAGTATTAATACTAGGGAGATACAGAATTGGCCAGCTTGGCTAGAGCAGTGGATTTATTTAGAAGGCAGTAGAAGACAGGGTTCTGGGCAAACTCCCCAACCTTTTTGGCACCAGGGACCGGTTTCATGGAAGACAGTTTTTCCAGGGTTGGCGGGGGGTGTTTCAGGCAGTAACGTGAGCGATGGGGAGTGATGGGGAGCGGCAGATGAAGCTTCGCTTGCTTGCCCATCACTCACTTCCTGCTGTGCGGCCTGGTTCCTAACAGGCCACGGACTGCTATAGGTCTGCAGCTCACGGGTTGGGGACCCCTGCTCTAGAGGGTTGGCAGGAGGCAACTTCAGTCATGGTATGCACACACTAAATTACTGAGAAAGATCCTTTCCAAGCCGGACTAGCTGAAGGTATGTACAGATGCAGACAGTCTATTCAATTTCAATATGAAAATTAGAACTGATGCTGAGATTTCAGTGAAGAGTGAAGTTATAATGTGTAACATTTAAAGTTTTAAACTTTGGTGTGTCATTTCAGGAGCTGTGGGCCAAGGATTTATTCACTGATTTTTTTTTCCCCAAGTTTGTGTTACTTCTTTTTATTAGGAAAAAAGCTTCTGTGGCCATTAGCTCTGGACATCTGAATTCCTTCTGCTCTGCTGGGATCCAGAAGTAGTTCTAAAGTTATCAGACCAAGAGTTTAGAGAGAAAGGCTTAACTTCTTTAGCCTTTCATATGATAAACACATTTACCTTCCCATTTAGTTCTTTCATTTTGCGTAAGACATGGCTTCAGATTATAGTTAATTCGTTTTTCCTTTGGGAGAATCAAGTTTTTGGTCAGATTTTAACCTACATACTTTTCTTTAGATCTCTCTTTTTTTATATTCTTAATTGTAATTCTTAATTAAGAATATGAATTACATTCTTAATTTATAATATAAATTAAAAAGTTATATAGATCTAATAAAATTGCTTCTATTAACTAATCGCTAATAGAAACAATCAGATGTCAGCACAATCTTAATTTATTGAGGAGAATAACTTGTGGTTTCTGTGGGTTTTTTTTAATGTAATTAGCTTTATTTGAAAATTTTATGATTAACAGGCATAATTGTTTTAAGGTGTTCTACCATGATGGAAATTTATCCTAACATAGGCATTTTATTTACCTCTCAAAGGACTTTCTTCAGGAGATACCACACCCTTTATGCAAGAAAATATATTACATGCAGCCATACATGCTGTTAGTGATGAAGAGTCTGCAGAAGTAAATGCTAATGATCAACTAGAAGCCCCGAAGCTGGTTCTGCAATCTCTGTTCTCACTTATACGGGGTGAAGTTGAGCAGTTGGATTCAAGAGCACTTCCCCTTTGCCTTCATCAGGTATCATGTTAAACCCTTCACTTTCAGCCTCACTGAAATTCTGGGACCAATATTTGTAATAATCTAAAATCCTATTCTCTGTAATTGATTCTACCCCACCTGTCAATGGTGAGTCCAAGAGGAGGTGACCCTGGATCAGTGGCTGGTAGGAAATTTGGCATATCACTGACTCATGGCCACACATTGGCTTGGATCATCAATCTAGAGTTCATACTGTTGCTAACTTCTTTTGCTTAGTGAATAAGCTGTGTACAAATAAGAGTGAATGTAGTGAGTACTTAATAAGTACCAACAAGGTACCAAAAACTAAGCTAGACGCTAGGGAAACATTATGTAACAGAGCATGTCCTTAAGAGAGGCACTGTGGAATAGGAGAAACAGTTTGTAGATAACTAATTGTAGAACTCTGTACAAAGCATCAGAGTAGATATGTGTTTAAGGTTTAGCAAAAGCCCAAAATGCATGATTAACTTTGTCCTTTGGACATTAGGGGAAAAAGTGATTCTTGAGCTGGGTTTTGCAGGGTGTGTAGGCTCTCACTAGATGAACAAAGTGAGCTGGTACAGAAAGAGAGAACAGTCCCTGCAAAGACATGACTGGGATGTTGTTGAAGATTAAGATGTAAAAGAGACAGGAATTAAGACTGGGTAGTTTGTGCCATTAAGGGCTTACTTTTAGAGGCTGACAGCCTTTTTTTTTTTAATTTATTTTATTTATTTATTTTTGGCTGCATTGGGTCTTTGTTGCTGTGTGCAGGCTTTCTCTAGTTGTGGTGAGGGCTATTCTTCGTTGTGGTGTACAGGCTTCTCATTGAGGTGGCTTCTCTTTGTTGGGGAGCATGGGCTCTAGGCGCACGGGCTTCAGTAGTTGTGTCACGTGGGCTCAGTAGTTGTGGCGCACATGCTTAGTTGCTCCGCGGCATGTGGGATCTTCCTGGACCAGGGCTCGAACCCATGTTCCCTGCATTGGCAGGCAGATTCTTAACCACTGTGCCACCAGGGAAGCCCGAGGCTGAGAGCTTTTAATTATGCAGGTGCCAGAATTTGAATTTTAGAAAAATAACTCTTTTGATGATTGGGAGGGTAAGCTAGAAGATGGAGAGCCTGGAGACTGGGAGATCTTTAGGACAGTGATGAGGAAGATACACAAGAGATAATTCCGAAAAGATTAAGATATTTATAAGCTGTGTTTTATTTTCTTTTAAAATGAAAATAATTTGTATATGGGTGTGGAAAAAGCTTCACTTTTTATTTCACTCCTCCTGTTTCATTTAACTTTTGCAGTGAGCAGTGAATAATTTTTAAGAAGTAAAACAGCTTTTGTCCTAAGGCAGGAAAACATATATTCTTACAAATTTATGTTACCTCCTTGGTGGACTTGAAGATATGCCTTTGAGAAAATGTGTACTACTTTTTGACCTCTAATGTGTTACTGACATATATGGTATATGTTACTGACATATATGACATATCTGTTTACAATAGTTGAGAACTGTAGTTGAGAACCACCAATATTAAGGCAGCTTTCTAATCTTTCAGGCTTCCTTGAATTTGTACAGTGGATTGAGTTTGTAAAGGGTATTTGCATTAACTGTTACTTCATTCTCCAAACAATCTAGAGAGGTAATTATTATCACCATCTTTACAAGTAGGGAGGCTGAGACTCCCTCACAAAGCAAGTTCCTTATAATACTAGGGCTGCAATTTGTTAGTTCCATTCAATGAATCTGTTTTGGGGACAACTTGGGAGAAATTTGAATATGGACTCTATATTAAATAATACTGTTGCATCAGTGTCAGATTTCTTGAGATTGATAATGGAATTGAAGATCATGTAGGAGAGTATCTTTATTCTTGGGAGATACATGTGCAAGTAGTACTTAGGAGTGAAGTGATATAATGCCTGCAGCTTAAGATATTTCAGGGGGAAAATATATGTAAGGGAGGGAAAGACAGAGAAAGCAAATTTGGCGAAATGTCAATAACTGACGAATCTAAATAAAAGGTATATGGCTGTTGATTTTACTGTTCTTTGAACTCTTCTGTAGAATTTCGATAAAAAGTTGGGGAAAAGGACATTTGGAGTAAATGGAAATAGCAAGTGTAGTCAAATCTTTTCAAGCAGTTTATGTCACTGGGCTATTACATTAAAGGTAAGAAGAATGCTCTTTTCTACAGGCAGGTGATCCTACAGCTGAAGCAGATCTAGTAGAAAATCACATTTTTAGGCAGGAAGACGATAACAGTCTTGATCAGATGAAGATTATTTTTTTTATGTCTCAAAGTAAAATTCTACCTTCATCCCCCAGAAACATGTCAGTTTGCTGGGTCCCGTATGTTATGCTTCATATATATCTCAGCAATCTGTCCTCTCCTGGCAAAGGAGCTTAGAAAGTATAGTGAGTGTTTTTTTTTTTTTTAATGCCACTTTTAAAAAATTTATTTAATTAAAAAGAATACATTTATTTATTTACTTAGTCTGCGCTGGGTCTTAGTTGTGGCATGCGGGATCTTTGTTGCGGCATGCTTGCGGGATCTAGTTCCCCAACCAGGGATCGAACCAGGGCCCACTGCATTGGGAATGCAGAGCCCTACCCACTAGACCACCAGGGAAGTCCCTATAGTGATGGTTTTAAAGTATGAGCTTTGGCTCTACCACTAACAAGCAAAGTAGCTTTTAGTTTCTTTTCCTGTAAAGTTGTAGAGGACTCAGTGAAATAATGCAGTAAAGTACTTAACATAGTACTTGGTACACTTAACATAAAAGCTAAATAAATATTAAGCATTATAACTATATTTCCCTGTCACTAATTCAAACATTGATTTTTGGAAAGAGATGCTAAAGCCTGCAGTAAGCTGAGACATCAGGGCAACAGGAGTCAGCTGATGGCTGCCTTCCTCAGCCCAAGAATACAAAATATCCTGTCACCTCCCAAGGGAGACACAAATCAGGGAGAAGTGGAGTGAGTTTTTCTTTTTTTAATTATTTAGTAATTCCCAATATCTCATACTGTGCCTTTCACTTAGATCGACAGTTGTTGACATTTTGCCAGATTTTCGTTTTCCTCCTACCGCGCAACCCTTCTCCACGCATATATTTTCCACTGACACATTTTAAAGTAATTTTCAGGTATTATATCACTTCACCCTTAAATATCAATACTTGTGCATAAATTTCCCAAGAACAATGATACTCTCCTACATAACCTACAATGCCATTATCAACCCCAAGAAATGAGACATTGGTTTAATATTATTTAACATATAGCCTATATTTGTTTCCCTCAAGTTATTCCACAAATATTCTTTATAACTAGTTTTCCCCAGATCCAGGATCCAGTGAAGGAGCACACAGTGGGAAGATTCTTTAGTCTTTGGTAATCCAGAACAATTCCCTGCCTTTTGTTTTGTTTTGTTTATTTGCTTATTTGCTTATACTTTTATAACACTGACACTTCTGAAGACTCAAGAATTCTTGTAAAATGTCCCATAATTAGGATCTGCCTGATTATTTCTTCATGATTTGATTCAGGTTAAAATATATTGACCAAGAATTCTACCTAGGTAACATTCCATACTCAGTTCTCTTTTTTTTTTTTGTGATACGTGAGCCTCTCACTGTTGTGGCCTCTCACTGTTGTGGCCTCTCCCATTAAGGAGCACAAGCTCCAGACGCGCAGGCTCAGCGGCCATGGCTCACAGGCCTAGACGCCCTGCGGCATGTGGGATCCTCCTGGACCGGGGCACAAACCCGTGTCCCCTGCATCAGCAGGCGGACTCTCAACCACTGCGCCACCAGGGAAGCCCCTCAGTTCTCTTTTGAACTCACTCCAATCTGGCCTTTGTGCCAATTGCTCCATCAAAGTTGCATTGTAAAGGCCAGGTGTGACCTCCATGTCGCGTGCCCATGCGAATCTAGTGGTCAGTCCTCCGTTTTCATCTTACTGGAAGTATCAGAATCTCTGACAAGTTGACCACATACTCTATTTTACAGAATTTTCTTTTTTTGCCTTTTAGGACCCCTCACTTTTGGCTTTTACATCTTACCTCACTGGACATACCTTCTCTGGCTCATTTGTTGAGTCCTCCAAGTTTTACTAATTCTTAAACATTGAAGTGCTTCAGGATTCAATTCTGAACTACAGACTTAAACATCCAGCTTCCTGAGGCATCTCATGGGCATTTCAAACTTAAGATGCCCCAAATCAAACTTTGATTTTTTTCTCCAAAATCTTTTGCTTTCCTAGTCTTCCCCCTTTTGTTAAATGGCAACTCCATCCCTCCAGTTGCTGAGACCAAATACTTTGCAGTCATCCTTCACTTTTCCCCACATCCAAATCCAATCAGCAAGTCCTGCCACTGTATTTCAAAATATATCCAGATTCTGACCTCTTCTTACCTCCTTCATTGCCACCATCTCAGTGCAAGATATTATCAAATCTTACTTGGATTCTTGCAGTAAACTAATTGTAGAAACCTCCTTGCTTTACCTTTATTTCCATTTAGTTTTTTTTCTCTCTACACAGCAGTCATTGTGATTCAGATAAAATGTTACATCAGATCATGTTACTTCTCTGCTCAAAGCCATCCACTGACTTCTCTTCGCATTCAGAGTAAAAGCCAAAATCCTTACCATGGCCTACGAGATCCTACATGATTTGGCCCTGTTACCTCTTAGACATTAATTCCTAAAACTCTCCTTCTTGTTCACTCCTTTCCAGGTACACTGGCCTCCTAGCAGTTTGTCAGATATACCAAGAATGTTCCTACATCAGGGTCTGTGGTGCTTCCTTTCCATCCTTTCTCAGGAAGCCGCTAGATGATGTACTCCATCAAAACAAGGGAGTAAACCAAGGAACAGGAAGATTGAGATATAGGAAACTGGGGATGCTACCAGGAGAGAGGTGAAGGGAATATCTAGGTGAGGGAGATTCAAAGATGACAGCTTTGTACCAAGGAGAGAGTAACCACTTCTATTGCAGATCAGAAGGGTCTGGGGAGGAACTTTTATATCATTTTCCTATTTCTGAATATTTGCGGTATCCGAATGTATTGAGGGAAGATTTAGACTCTTGGTGGACTGTTTAGAGTTGTATAAGTGATAAGTGCATGGAAAACTTTTTTTTTTTTTTTTAAAAAAGGGAAAAGAAACTCCAGGGAAAACAAAAAGTTTTCAGGAAAGGAAAAATAATGAGTTTACTACTTGGCTTAACTCATAATAAGGTAAACATTAAATGTTTATCTACCTATTACTACAATATAATAACGTGGAATAGGTGAATATGTGAGAGAAAGTGTGTGTTGTATATGTTTGTAGGGTTTGGATGGGGAGAAGCAAAAGACCCAATCCTCATTTTCTAAAACTGAAAAAATCAAGATATAGCAAATATAAGCATAATGTTTAGAGATACAACAAAAAATATATTTTTAAACAGATAAGAGAAATCTAAGTGCTTGCTCCTGAAGAAAGGAGAATAGGGCAAGAAGGGTAGGGCCTTTTTTAACACACCTCATAGAACTATTTGACTCCTTAAATCATACACATGTGTAATCTTGATAAAAATAAGAGCTAAAAGAAGAAATTTATAATTCAGGCATAAGGTGAGAATAGCATCTAGGTTAAGATGGTGACAGTGTAAATCCAGAGGGGTGAATTTGAAATCTTGATGGAAGGACTTGGTGTAGATAGTAAAAAAGGGGATGAAGAGGAAATCAGAGATGAATAATGCTAGGATATCCAGTTGAAAGGAATGGTAGTACCACTAACAGAAATAAGGAAGTATGGATGGGAAGAGTTAATTAGGGGACAATTATATTATTATTTTTTTTTTTTTTTTTTGCGGTACGCGGGCCTCTCACCGTTGTGTCCTCTCCCGTTGCGGAGCACAGGCTCCGGACGCGCAGGCTCAGCAGCCATGGCTCACGGGCCCAGCCGCTCCGTGGCATGCGGGATCCTCCCGGACCGGGGCACGAACCCGTGTCCCCTGCATCAGCAGGCGGACTCTCAACCACTGCACCACCAGGGAAGCCCAGACAATTATATTATTTTTAACATGATATTATATGGATGAATATATGCTAAAGACCATTTGATATAATGACTATGATTACTTTAGATATATGCTTTTAGCTCTTGAAGATTCCATTTAAAAATTATTTTTCTTGGGTTTGAGTAATCTTCCTACACTGACTTAGTTAATATGACCACAGATTAGCTTTAAATATGTAACTGAAGTCATAAACTTAGAAGTTTCTCATATAGAAGTAAGAAGAAAAAGATCAAGTGCTGTACTCTGTGCTCAATGAGCTTATACTGAAACTCATCTCAGACTCAGGCAGGATATGGCTCCGCTGGGATCCTTGAAGCCACTCTGTAACACTATGGCTGAAAAACTACACCTTCCTAATTCCCTTTCTTTTTGTTTCTGGTAGGTAAAAGAAGCCTGAAACCAGGAGAACCTTAAAATTATTACCATCCCAAAGTGATTTTCAACTTACATCTTCACATAATTCTACTCTGCCTCTCTCACTTCTGGTCCAGAGTCAGACTCAAAAACCATTTTAAGCACTTACTGCTATGTGCTGGGCACTGTGCTAGACACACATTCCCTCACTTAGTCCTTACAGCAGCCCTGTCTCAGAGTTGTAGGTATTATTGTCCCTATTTTACAGATAAGGAAGCTGAGTTTGAGACTCAACATGTCCAGGGTCACACAGCTGGTAGTGGCAAAGCTTGGACTAGAACGCAGTCAGGTTATTCACTTTCAAACCTCACGTTTTTCTGTTATACCAGGCTACCTCCCAGATCTAGACATATGGGGCATCAAAGAAAATCACATTTTCTTTTGCCCGGCTAGACTTGCCAGGGGTAAGTTATTATAGGGCAAATGATCTGTATATTTATTTTTCAAGCTGCCCTTTCACCTTGGAAATGTCCTTTATTTTTGAGACCTTGGGTTTCATGACACTGTCTTTTTTTATATATATATATAAATTTATTTTTGGCTGTGTTGGGTCTTCGTTGCTGCGCGCGGGGTCTATTCTTCATTGCGGTGCGCAGGCTTCTCATTGTGGTGGCTTCTCTTGTGGAGCACGGGCTCTAGGCTTGCAGGCTTCAGTAGCTGTGGCTTGCAGGCTCAGTAGTTGTGGCTCGCTGGCTCTAGAGCACAGGCTCAGTAGTTGTGGTGCACGGGCTTAGTTGCTCCGTGGCATGTGGATCTTCCCGGACCAGGGCTCAAACTTGTGTCCCCTGCATTGGCAGGCAGATTCTTAACCACTGCACCACCAGGGAAGTCCCATGACCCTGTCTTTTTGGTTGCACTTATGGTACTAGAACTGTCACGGAAATCTGCAAGCTAATTGATTAACAGTTTACAAAGATGTGGTTGAGTCCATCTATATTGCTATGTTGCTTCTGGAAGAATGTTAGATATATAGAATAAACTTTAAGCTAGGCAAATATTTCCTTTAAAATTATCCTTTTTCCACTGTGGGATTTGAGAAAGACCATTCCTTTTTATTGCTAGCTTATAGGTTTGACAAGTGCTTTATTGCTCTTTGCCTTGGCAGCTACCAGGAAAATGGAGATAGTGATCAATAAATGGAATACCTTTTTCACTAGAGACTTACTAAAAATCAGTGAAAACTGTTTGAAAGTGTAAAGTACTTAATGAAATATTTTAAATATGACAGTAGTCAATTTATGCTAATATTTCTCAGTGAATACTTTCGGTTTTACTATTCTATTTATAAATGCCATATCTAAATAAAGATCTAAATAAAAGATCCCAAAGTTTTTAGAATCAAAGAATTTTTAAATTTAAAGGTGCCCTAGAATGAATCTGCTAAATGATAAGCCTCAACTGGGTCCAGATCATGAGTCTCTGAACCCCATCCTCCCATCCAGTGCCCTTTATACTGTGCAGCGCTTTGTATATATATTCCAAACATCATTGCTCAGCTATTAGCACTTGGTCTGTCCTTTTCTGAAATATCAAAAAAGAATGAAAAATCAGTGTCCCATGAGGTAGTTTGTGAAACAGAAATGAAATGAATAGGTTTTAAGATTTCATGTGACATGACATATTTCAACTTTTTAATTTACGATAAAGTCATCCTTTCACTCATAGTATACTTTTATAAGCCTCAGTAGCATTTCCCTCATTGTTTAGAGTTCTTACTTCTAAACTCTAATGAATCAGTGATGTTTGCTTTGACTTTAAATAGAGTAGGAAGAATGAGATTGTATATGGACCAAAGAATGTCTATGTTTGCTTTTCTTGAGATAAGTGACTTCAGAAATGTGTCCTGTGCCTACAGTCTGACTTTTTCTGAACTGGCGGATGTAGTTAAATAAGAGTTTTCTTAGTTCAATATCAAAGACTTTGAGAATTTCAAGGTCTTGGTTTCTTCTAAATTTGTCTTTTCATCCAAATGTTAATTTAATTTCCTCTTTTTGTTTGTTTTTAACAGATAGCAGAGTCCTATTTCCAGGAGGAGGACTGTATCCTTTTCTTAATTACAAGGAGAAATCCACAGACTTCTTAGAGAACTGCCCATTTTTAAAAACTGAGATTTACATACAATGAAAGGTATAATCTGTTGTTTTCACTGGGTTTTAATTGTTGTATGCACCAATGTAACCATCTCAGAAAACAAGATGTAGGGAATTTGTCACTCCAGAAAATTCTCTAGAACCACCCAAATTTGACCTCCCATGAACAAGCCCTAATTTTACCAAAATCTAAATATTTGTGTGTTGGGGGGAGGGGGGAAAGCATGTTGCAAAACAAACAACCCATTGAATTTTTTTTCTTTTGAATTAAACAGAAGTACAAGTCAAGTAATATTTGTATGTTAGAGTCTGTCAAGCGTATTATACATAGTAAATCTCATAACTGTCTTATTGTAGCTATATATCAGTAAAGGGAAGATTGAGTTCTTCACTAGTAATAAACAGAATAAATGTTCTCAAAGGAGACTGCATGTTAACTTTTGTATAGGAAAGATTTATTCCCTTAGCTTTTAAATTTTCCTCATTTGAAATTGTTTTTGAAAGATGGCCCAATATATACTCTAGAAAGAATGTATCCTAAGTATCTCTATTTCCCTATTTGTGTGATTTCTTTTTCCTCCTAACCTTATTGATTTTCACCACAGATTGAGGGATAAGCAGTTATCATCCTGAACCCTATCAAATAAACTACTAAATGAAACTTCAGACAGTGGCAGTTCATTTCTAAGTATGTAGGAAATCAAATTCTTATGGAAAGGAAGCTAGAACCACCCAAATAATGAGTATGATGTAGTGCAGTTCAGATCAGCATCAGCATCCCTGGGAGCTTCTTAGAAATGAAAATTCATGGGCCTTAGAATCAGAGCTTCTGGGGATCAGACCCATGAATCTCTATTTTAGCAGGATTTTCAAATTTTTATATTCAGTGAAGTTTGAGAAACATTGATATACTTTTAAGCCATGCACAGAGGAAAATGGAATTGTCTGCTTCTCCCTGGCCTATTTTATGATTCCTGGCATATCTTTAAGACTACAAATGAGAGAGAGAATTATACATCTGAGTGATCATGGGAAGGACAAAAAGCTAAAACAGTGAGTTTTTTCTCTTCCTTCTTTCTGGGTCAACATTTAGAACATGGCCCAAAGGAAGGTAGACAGTTGCACAATTTATTATGACCTCATATGATGCTAAATGTGTGATACAGATGGAGAAGACAGCAGTTTATAAGAAAATCTACCAAAAAAGTAGAAGCACATAATTATGAAAATCACTGTGGCAAGTTAATTTTTTTTTAAGTGTTCAGTGAGAAATAAGTAAAGGATCACAGGCAGTTGAAATCAGAAACAAACATTTGACTAGAGGGTAACATAGTTGCTTGACAGAAGGTAATTTAAGGAGAGAAAAAAAAAGCGGGGGTGGGGGGAATACTTAGATTACAGGATTCCACATGGGTCCTATTTCTAATTAAATTATATTTAATTGACTCTCCTAGAGATATTATTAGCAAGCAGGCATTCCTTGAACATTAAAACCTTCTTTTTGGGGCTTCCCTGGTGGCGCAGTGGTTGAGAGTCTGCCTGCCAGTGCAGGGGACACGGGTTCATGTCCCGGTCCGGGAAGATCCCACATGCCGCGGAGCGGCTGGGCCCGTGAGCCATGGCCGCTGAGCCTGCGCGTCCGGAGTCTGCGCGTCCGGAGCCTGTGCTCCGCAATGGGAGAGGCCACAACAGTGAGAGGCCCACGTACAGAAAATAAATAAATAAATAAATAAATAAATAAATAAATTGCAGCATGCAGACATTTAAAAAAAAAAAAAACCTTCTTTTTGTTTCTGCTGTTTGCTGATAGAATAGAACCCAGGTAGCTACTGCATGATATGCTACATTAAAATTTACCTACTTCAAAACCAAGAAACCTTACTTAAGTTTTGTTTAAATTTAAAAGTATTTAGAGTCCTCTCATTTTTTGGTAAGCTTCAAATTTATCAACTGATATAGGACATTATTCTTTAGGCTGGATTTCTATGTTCCTCAAATTTTCTATTCAGATGAGAAAGCAATGAAATTCATTCAGCTCGAACGACTGTATCATGAGCAATTGCTCGCAAATCTTTCTGCCATTCAAGAACAGTGGGGTGAGTACAGACTAACAGAATGTGGGATTATCAATAATCTAACAAGTTGCTCTCTAGAAAGTTAACATATTTGACCTAGTTTTAGGAAATAGACATTTCTAGTCAAGTTAATGTTGCAAAGAAAGTAGCATTTTTACCAAAAGTTTATGTCATTGTAAGAAAAGTTTTCCCTTTGTATTTTGTTCTTCATATCAGTGCCAAGAAAAGAACACTTGCAACTGTTTGCATTTCTTCTGATACCTTTGTATGCCCTATTGGCTAATTTAGTCTCTGGGATAATATTTACTTAGAATGAAAAGTAATCACTTAGCTATTTCTATGTTAACTTTGGGGTTGAGAAGATACTTTTGCATGATGATCTTTATCAGTGGTGCCAGTTATCTATTTTTTCCCTCCTAAACATGTTTTGTAACAGCCAGTGATTAACAAATATTTTAAATTTAGAAACAAAATGGAAAACTGTACAACCACATACAGTTACATCTTTGAGGAATTCAGAAAAAGGATTTAATGGTGAGGATTTTGAACGGCTTGCTAAATTTTGCACAACACATCAAGAGTAAGTACTTCAGTATTTGTTTACAATGAGTTTGAATAGAATATTGAAGAAGCCCTGTAGCATTGAATATTTGAAATGCAAGATTCATTTCTTTGTTTTGTTAATGCTTTCAACTGGAGAAATTAAAATTGATAAAATGATTAGGTTCCTTTCTCAGCTTTTATCTGTTTCTTACACTAAACTCAGCGAAAGGTCTACTTTACAAAATTCAAAGCACCTTCTAATTAGAAATTTTTAAATGTAACTTCTAATTTCAATTACTTTTTGGTTAAGAGATTAGGCGATTCAGATGGAAAAATTTGTGTTAGGATTTTTTATTATAATTGTTTTTCAATGTTTGTATGTTTGTCAATGTTTCTATGTTTTTACTATACTATGTTATAGTAAAAACACATTTTTAAGACTAGTCTGATACTGGAAAGCAATTGCACTATGGTATTTAACCAAAATACTGTAGAAGGAAAACTCCATTTACCAGATAATTTTAAATTGTTTGATTTGTATCAAAGAGTTGGATTTTTAAAACTGAATATAGTAATAATAAAGCACTTAAATATATTTTTTAGTTCATTATTTGAAGACTCAGAATTTTAAAGATGAGGGGACATGATAGTGATTAAACTAGTGCAGATTTCTGAGATGTGCAATTTTCTTGTGTTAGTCAGTTTGAACCTTTGAAACAGTATTTTTATGGATTTTGCATTATAACCTAATTTCTTAGTAAGTTAAATAGGTTAACTTTTGACTTTGTAGAGGTTTTAAACAATGGAATCTTTTAAAATAGTTAAAGGAGATTGTTTTCTTACTTTCAGAATTTCAATATATATTGACACTTTTTCTGCCCTTCCCATGGAACTAATAATTTTTTAATGTGTTAACAAATGTTTTAATTATTTAAAAACAAATATTTATTGAACCTAATATGAGCATGATTTTTTTTCTTTTTTTTTCTCTTTTTAAATATAAAGTAACTTGCCAACGCATAATTTAAAAGCTAGTCACATTGCTTCAGATCACTAGAGAATTTCTGGCTAATGAACAGTGGATAGTATAGTAAACAAAACCCCAAATTTTTATGTTTTAAATTTGATAATTTCCCAAAATTATACTCCTAAAATTTTTAATATAAAAAATATTTTTGAGTTATACATACATTAAAGTACCCAGCTTGATGAATTTGTACATGTACAGATACATAGCGTAACTACCAGTCTGACCAAGATACAGGACAGTCCAGCCCCTCAGAAATCTCCCTAATTTGTGTACAAAGTCAGTACCCATCCCTCAAAGTAACTACTCTCTGAGTTCTATAACAGTGTATTTGCCTGTTCTATAATTTAATATAAATGTAATCACACAGAGTAGATTTTTGTATCTAGCTTCTTTTGCCCATGGTTATGTTGGTGTTACATATTGTTACATGTTATGGTAACTTGCTCTGCTTTACTGCTGTGTGGATTCATTATATGACTGTGCAGCAATTTATTTATCCATTATATTGTTAATAGACATTTGGTTTGTTTCCAGTTTTTGAATTGTATGAATAAAATGGCTGTGAATATTTTTGTGTATGCTTTTTGGTGAATATATTCATTCTTTTATCTTGGGTATTTCCTAAAGTATAATATTTAAAGATTACTTTTGTTATCCTTTTCTATGGATAATGCATATAAAATTATCTTCCACCATAATTTTAGACTATAATGACATAAACTAAAATTTTAATAATATCTGTGAAATGCTCTTGAAATACATTATTAGCAAAAGGTTGACATTTTTCCCCCCGAATCTCAGTATTTATAGCTTCTCTGGAGGTTTTCATTAGTTATTGGCCATCTAAGGAGATTAACACATGAGATAGCTGCAGTTTGAACTGTGTGAACCAGTGGTAATGTTTCAGCAGTGGAAATGTTCTGTGCTAATATTAGAATCCAGAGAAGCTCTATTTTTTTTTTTTTTTTTACAGCCCTTTCAGTGACATTTGTTTGGAAGCATATTGCTGCTGTAATTTTTTTTTAATTCTTTTTTTTTCTCTCTTTTTTCTACAGTCCTCTTTTATCCAAACATAAGGTAAGAGATTTTCTTTGAAAATGTCTATAGGAAAAATGTGTCATGTTTGTTGTATGGACTGTTTTAGAAAATAATGAAACCTTTCTCAAATTATTTTCAGCTTTCTAATTTAATGTAACAGTTTCCTCCAAAGTTTTTTTTTTCTTCTTCTTCTTTTTAAAAAACTTTTTAGATAGCAGCTGTACAGAAGTCCCTGGGAAGGAAATGTTTTACACAGTTAATAGTATCTGAAGATCCAAAGGAAAGAGGAGCTACAGCCAAAGAGCCAGGTATGTTTTTAAATTACAGGGGGATATAAGAGATATGCCTGCCTCTTATAATAAATATTCTACAAGTGTTAATCTGAGTTGCTGTGAAGGAGTTTTTTTGCGTATACCCCTCCTACACGAATAGCAAAGCAAGATTTTTTTACATTGTGTAATTCTATTTTTAGATATCTAGTAGTAGGAATGATAAAATCTGAATTCTTATAAAAATATAAAATTATTTCATGTTTTCAGTAGGTGGTTATATGTGTCTAACAGAATATGACAAGATTGTACAAATAAGCTCTGAAATAGAATTGGTTTTAGTGTATTCAGACATCCTCTTTCTGTTAAAAAAAAATCAGTTTTTGTACAGACTATCAGAAATTTTTCTGTAAATCTAGATATTATCAAGATAAGCTCTGTATCCTTATAGTTTATCTATAGTAATTTATTCTCTTCCTTTTTTTGTTGACTAACATATGGTATGCTTTAATTTGTACATATATATTTCTATAGCATTCATAGTATATTTTATAGCACTGTCTTATGTCAAAAGTTAAAGATTTCTAGAAATTTTTTTCCTTACAGTAGTAATGTATGTTCATAATAAAAACTTTAGAAAATAAAGATAAATAAATATGTTTTAGGGCATTTATTTTTCCTTGTTTATGATTTTAGTACAAATTTATATTCCTGGGCTTTATGTTCCTGGGCCTGAGAGCCCTGATAGTAAACAGGCAGCATCAGGTCTTTTGACTTGAGGTGCCTGAATAGGTAAGATGACGACGATGATGCCTGCAATTTCACTTGCTTTTTTCTCTTTACGTTTTTTTCCCCCTAAATCTTATTTTATCCCCTCTTCTCTTATGAGGCAAATTTGGGTTGCCTTAGGCCAATCCTACTATACTCTGTTCTTCCTGTCTCTTTTTCCCAGTCATTTTTATTTTGGAAATCAGAATACAATGAGCTTCATAAAAATCTTAGGGGAAAAAGTCACAAAATAGTCACCTAGTTTGGGTGTGAATGTATCTCTTTGCCGTGCACATTGGGAAGAAGGCTGTTATTACATGCTGATTGTTTGAGTCTGACACTGCCTAGCACTAGCTTAGCACTACTTCTGGCTTGGCCTTTACTGCGAGATAGGTGGCACAGACAGGAAACTGGGATACCACGTTTGAGCCACTTGCTTGGTGCTTTGATTCACAACTAGAACCTGCGTCTTCTGGTTTCTAATTAAATTGCAGCATACTTCTGCTAAGTAAGTTGTGTGGATTTTCAAAGACTTGCACAATGCAGACATTTCATTAATAGCCATTTTATGGGGAGGGTGTGGACTAAATTCTGGAGAAAGAAATCTTGCCAAGTCTGATAAAATAATATCTTTTAAGGAAAAATGTCAAATGTCTCATAATGAGCCTACTCAGATTGGTGATCTATGAATGAATACATAGAAATGTAAGAAAGAATATGAGAGAAAGAAATATGAAAATATTACTTTAAATGATTTGTATTTAATATATTGTCCTTGTTTTACCCCATATTCCTTATTTCTAATGTCTTACATGTTCTACAGTGTAGACTTTCCCTTTTCTTTCTCTCTACATATCTTGGTCTTAAGCTCCTTATATAATAAGTAACTTGCTTTTTTGTGTGTGTGGTGGTTAAAGACATTGTTTCTGGCACCAAACTTGTCTGGTATGAATCCTCTCTCCACCACTTAAAGTTGTGTGACCCTAAGAGACTTCCCTGGTGGTCCAGTGGTTAAGACTTCACGCTCCCAATGCAGGGCACATGGGTTCCATCCCTGGTTGGGGAACTAAGATCCTGCATGCCACACGGTGCAGCCAAAAAAAAAAAAAAAAGTTGTGTGACCATAAGCAAGTTGCCTAATTTCTCTGTCCCTCCCTTTCCTCAGCTCCAAAAGGTGGACATTAATAGTTCTTACCTCATAGGATTCTTATGAGGATTAAATTAGTAATTTCATTAAAGTTTAGAACAGTACCTGGCATAAGGTAAGAAAAATATGTGCTAGCTGCTCTCATTACTCTTCCTCCACCACTTCCTCCCTCCTCATGTTATCACCCCCTACTACTAGTATTCCATTAATGTTCTCTGTGTGTTATTCATTGCTACTTTTCTAATTAATCTATCATCATTAAAGTCTTCAAGTAATTTATGTAGTATTCTATATTTTCAAAATACTTTTATGTATATTATCTCATCTTTTCCTCCTAACAACCAATTTAAGGTAGGCTAAATCATTTTAAGAAACTCAATGAAGGTAAGTGACTTATTCCGGAACAGAACTAATTAGAACACAAAGCTAAACCCTATTTTTCTGACCCTGAAGCCCATGTGTTTTTATTAATTTATATTTTAATTCATTTTTATTAAGTAATATTTTATATGTAAAAATAATATGAAACGTACATACATTTTAACAGTTGATAGAAAAATGAAGACCTGTGAACCTTATACCTAACGAGGGACTAAACTGTCAGTTCTGTTACAGCTACCTTTGTGTTCCTCTCTATCCCATCACCTGCTTCACTCCATTCCTGAGGTAACCATTATCCTGAGTTCTCTATTCATCGTTCCCTTCCCATTTTTATATCAACTTTATTGAAGTACAATTTCCATACAATAAAATGTACCCATTTTAAGTGTATAATTTGATGAGATTTGACAACTGTATACACTCATGTAACTACTACCCCAGTCAAGATATGGAACATATTCATCACTCCAAAATCTTTCTCCCAGCCCTCTTACACTCAGTCCCTCCCACCTCCAGTCCCAGGCAACCCAGTGCTTTCTCTTATTATCAGTGGGTTTTCCCTGTTTTAGAATGTAATATAAGTAGAATTGCTCAGCATCCTTTTTTTTTGGGGAGCCGCCCATATTGTTGTATGTATCATTAATTCATGTCCTTTCATTGCTGAGTAGTATTCCACTTTTTGACTGTACCACAATTTGTTTATCCATACACCTGTTGATAGATATTTGGGTTGTTTCCAAGTTGGAGGTATCATGAATAAAACAGTAGGAAGTTTTTTTTGTAGATACATGTTTTTATTTCTCTTGGGTAAAGAACTGAGGGTGGAGTCATTGGGTCATAGGGAAGGTACATATTTAGCTTTCTAAGAAACCATCAAATAGTTCTCCAACGCTGTTGTCCTATTTTATACCCCACCAGCAATATATGAGAATTCCAGTTGTTCTACATCCTTGCTGACATTTAATGTTGTCAGTCTTTTTTTTTTAGGTCATTTTAGTGGATATGAATGTCCTTGTGGTTTTAACTTGCTTTTCCCTGATGACTGAGTATGTACATTTTTAGTTTTGAATTAACTGCTGTAGAAGTTGTACTAATTTATACTATTACCAACAGTTCAGACTTAATTTAGGCACATTTCTTTCCATCTGCTAAAATAGATATTAGCATTGAAAATTTCTTTTTCAAGCCTGATATCACTCAGATGTTTTTACCTGATGATAATTAATGAGATACTCAGAAAATATAAGAAATGTGTTAATTCATGAATGCTTTAGTCTCACATCATGTATTGTATAGGGGATTTTTCCCTAAAGAGAATTCATGGGGGAATGGGAGATGAGAGAGTAACGCAAAGGTATGTGCATTTGTAGAGCATGTGTTAGAACTTAGGTTTAAGTCTAACTTCTCATTTTAGAAATACCTCTTTAATTTGGTATTATTAAGTAGCTGTCATACAGTCAGCTTTTATTCCATTTTTATTTCATCAGAGTAGAATTTTTTTTTAGTACATCTTAAGTCAATGCAATAGGGATTAGTAAACTTACCTCACTAGATCTTTGGGTTCAGGAGAACCAATTAACAGAAATTCATGTTAATATTAACAGAAACATTAACAATAAGTTTTATACTATGATACATACTTGTAGAAAATTCAGAAAATATTTTTGGTTAAACATAGTGGATCAAACATTTACTTCCACTTTTTTTTTGGAACACTATTAAAATATCTGAAGGGGATCCTTAAAGGCAGAAAGCCAGAAGGACAGAACTGGCAAGGACCCAGCAGCAGATATGACATCCAGAAAATTTTGGAAGCTGGGAAGCAGATAGATGGGTGACACCTGGCTTAACATACCAGAGAAAGCCAGAAACTAAGTGTCTACAGGGAAAAGGTTGATTTCTGCTTGGGAAGGTTTAGAAATTGGAAGCACAGAGGGTACCTCTAAATTTAAGCATTTAAAGTTGGGCTAAAATACTGTACAAGAAGCATTTAGACCTTTATGTTCCCCTTCTACCGAATCGGAGGCCTGTTGGAAGCTAGACACAATACAGCAGTGCCTTCAAAATTGCGAGAGAGAATGATTTCTAACCTAGAAAACTTTACCCAACCAAAGTTTTAGTCAGGGGTGAAGAAGTAAAGACTTTCAGATGTGAATAACCTTAGAAAGTTTACCTTCCATGTACCTTTTCTTAGGAAATGTTCTACTAAGAGAGAATAAACAAAGAGGAAGACCTGGGATTCAGAGAAAACAAGGTTTCCAAAATAGAGCCAAAATGAATTCCTAGGATCACTGGGAAAGGAAATTCCAGGATGATACCTGTGTAGCAGCCCTGGAGAGGAGTTCCAGGTCAGGGACTCAAGAAGGATATGTTTTAAAACTGATGGATTACCTGTTGGTACATATGCCGTAGTTGTACATCTGTCAGAGTTTGAAGACACATAGGTAAAGTTTTTTTTTTTTTAATGAAGTAATGAGGCAGTTATCAACACCAAGGAAAACAAAGCATAAATGAGAAAGGAAGACGTATCAGAGTACATAGTGTGGGTCAGTTGTGAACAATATTTACAAAGCCATAGTAACATAAACATTTGAATATTGATTTGCCCCAGAATTGTGTTGAATTGTAATGGGAGCTAGAGGAGGAGAAAGAAAACATCATTGTTGGGGAAAGGAACCATGAGAGCTAACTCCCTTCCATAGTAGGAAGTCAGTAGGTGTTCTCTAAAACTGAAAAGTCAATAAATAACAATGTAAGTCTTATCTAGAAATGGAGAGTAAATATGAGAGGAAACAGCTAAAGGAATTGAAAATTGGCTGCCCCTAGAGAGCAGGAATCAGACAGATGGGAGAGTAAGGCAGCAGACTGTTTTTCATTACCTGTAAGGACAGGTTTTAAGTTTTTCCCCAAAAGCATGATTTGATACAACAAATTATAAAATAGCATATATTATGTCTGATTTGGAGGCTGAATATGTATTAAAAATATCACTTAGATTTTATATGGCATCAAACAAACTATAGCTACTCTCCTGATCTAGTCTGAAACTCTTGCCCTTTGCATCTTAAATTGCTACTTTTTTTCCATATTTTATATTGTTTCTAATAGTGGAATGAAGCAACTGTTTTCAGGCCAGTATTTATAAGTAATACATTGTACCTATGTGTAGTCTTTATTACACACCACTTAAGTGGTATCTTGCTTCATTAGAAACGGTGCTTAATATGACTGTATTTTGTCTAAGTAACTGTAGTCAGCCACGTCACTTTCTACTCATGTGATGGCATCTCAGGCCATTCTCTAACTTTTCAGTCACTTATAGCTATTAAATAGTCTCATTTTGATTCTTTATGACTTAGTCCTTTTCAATTCCAAACTTTACCATAACACTTAAATCTCATTTTATTCAAAGCTCTTCTCTGTCCACCAGCTCTGCAGGGGCTGGGAGCATGGTCTGCTCTCTGGTGAAGCTAGCTAGATTAGTGCATAGGACAGAATCCAGGCTATGGGGACGTGTGGTGGCTCCGGCAGGACCAACTGAGGAGGCGCTTACTTCCAAGTTGCTCTCCTAGACATCTGTGGTCCTTTAGGTAACTGGCCCTCAGCTAGAGACAGCACACCCTGTTCCTCTGATGTGGGGCCCTCTCCGCCCTGTGTTTATGCTATTTACTCTCTGAATTCTATGGATGTGTTTTGAGGGCCGCCTTCTGAACCTTAGGGTACTGGGAACTTGCGGAGGAGAGCTTGGCCCCCTTTCCATCTGGCCGGGGCCCTCTTTGCTCTGACGTCCCGCATCTTAACAGAGAGGCAGACCAGCAAGCTCAGTGATGATGCACACAACCTAATGGGAATTAAAATGTCCGTGTGTTGTGTTTTTTTTGCAGTCTTCCAAACTTGGAATGACTCCTTGGGGTGGGACAAGACAAAGAATGCTGTACTCTCCCCAAAAGAGACCTAGTTTTCCTTGTCCTCTCCTCATCTGATGTTCAAGTTAAGGCATGGGGGAGGTAATACAAACTCTAATAAGCTCAGCAGTGCAGAGTTGAGGTGGCCAGACTCCATCCCTGATTCTCTGAAACCAGAAGATGGCATTTAAGTTCTCTTTTCTTTGGTATGGTACGTGCTGCCATTGCCAATTGGTAATTATTAAAGTACCAATAAATGAAAAACCAGGTAGAATATAATCATCACTATATTTCATCCTTGATTTTAACCTTTGGCCCATGATTTGTATGAATTAAACAATATATGACAAAAGAAAAAGTTAAAACTCCTGTGGTAGCTAGGAATGCTTAATCGACCAAAAACTCAATCATGAGCAAGCTTCTCTCTTATCTACTAGTTTATGCATTCAGTATATATTTTGTGAAAGTTTTTAATGGTTTAGTTTTAAAGTGAAAGAAAAGTATTTTAAATTGTTTTATTTAAAATAGAAATTGAAAGAAATATTAAGATTCCAAACCCATTTCTGCCTGGTACCAAGACTTAGGCTTTATACCACTACCTTTGACTGCCTCCCTTTAAGAAGTTAAAGTAATTTTCCAACACATTAATTAAGGATGTTATTATTAAGGATATTATGCTTAAATAAATTTGAACAGAACAGACTTATGTTCCTTAGTTTAGTCTTAATAGATCAGAACCAGTATTGTTTTTCTTACACTTTAAATTATGTATTACTATGGTTCATCATGTAAAAATATTTATTTAACATGCCATGTCTTAAATACACTGAAAATAATTTTTCTACACTTTAAAATATTCTTTTAAATACACACAGCCAATAAAGCTCAGAAGAATATCTTCTAAACCTTTGAAAAAATGACTTTTTCAATTATAATGAAGACTAAATTATATATTCATATTTTAACATGTTTTTGAATAATCTTTGTTAATTTTCATATCTAAAGGATTACTTACTAAATGTTCAGGATGTTTCCTCTACCTAAAGACACTATTATCCATCAGGTAGAACTTCCATTTCAGAGGTTTAGAATATCGTTGTGTCCCACATTTTATTCATGTCCTTTCTCTTCCCTCCTGTACAAAGTTCTGTTTTGAATCTTAAAACAACTTGCTTTCCTTCGTTTTCAGAGAGTGAAACTTGTCTTGGCATGGAATCAGGAAAAGAAAGCCAACATAAAAGAGAGACCCGCGAGAGCAGTCCCTGCTGTAATCAGATGGACAGGCAGGCAGATCCCCTGAGCCTTCCGGTAACTGCAGGGCAGGGCCACACGGAGGAGCCGCTCTGCAGCGCTGAAGCCACACTGGAGCTCCACGCCCTGCCCTTGGAGTCGGCAGGGAGCAGGTCTGGGCTACTCTCTTCAGGGAATGCTTGTGAGGATGACAGCCGCTTGCAGCTGACTCAATCAGAGGCCAGCCAAGATGTGGCCGAAATAGAGGGCATTGCTAAAGACCCTAAGGTTTCCAGCGAGTCAGTGATAGAGCCATTGATTTTACCAGGCTCTGACCATATACCTCCTGCGTTGATTTCTGAGGGTAAATACTCACAGACGCAAAGAAAGGAACTCCAGTTGCTACTTCAGGATGCTTCTGAGGCGTTGCCCACAGACCAACTTGAGAACAATGAATTAAATGAGCTGCAGCAACCTGATCTTACAGACAGTGATGGAAAATCACCACAGGGGCAGACTGACTCAGAGGGCTCTGAGAGTGTACTTTGTGAAAATAATCAAGTATCTGATTTAAGTACAGTGCTTCCAGAAGTGTATATGGCCCCAGAGGAACAGGGAGATAAACACGAACAAGTCAGTAAGGAAACAGAAGACTATTTGAACAGCCTTTTAGAAGAATGCTTAAAAGATACTGAAGATTCCCTTTCATATGAAGATAACCAAGAGGAAGACCCTGATCTCCTTCAAGATCTTTCTCCTGAAGAAGAATCCTATAGTCTACAGGAGAACCTGCCTTCTGATGAAAGCTGTCTTTCTCTCGATGATCTTGCAAAAAGGATAGAGATTGCAGAGGTAAATTTGAGATTTAATATAAATATGATTTAATATAAAATACGATTAAAAAGATGAAATTTGAAAGCACATATATGCTAAATATTGCCTTGTTTTTATAAATTTTCCCTGGCCTCAAACACGAGGGGGAAATTTAGTTAACATAAATTTTTAATCATGATGTATAATCATGATGTTTATACCTCAAAAAATATATTGCATGCCTCTAGTATAGTAAGCATTATGTACCTCATTTTTCACATTCTTACGATTTTTATTTGGCAGTCCTGGGAATTACTAACAAGATAAGATTAGTTACATTCTTGTAAGGAAATCTTATTTTTCTTCTCATACATCTAGAAGATAAAATATATACTCACTGTTTCTTCTTATTATTAATGTATTTTAAAATTCTTTAAAACAGTATAGCAGAGTGAAGGAAACATTTTAAAATACAATAAGAGTAGGAGATACCGAATGGATTTATAAGCTCTAGGTTTGAACAAACTTAATACTTACTGCTTGACTAAGTCAAATATTACAAATAATTCAAAGTTTTAAAGTTTCTCTAAACAGTAATTAAGCTAGTCAAAATCCAAAAAAGGGGGCAGGAGAGAATATCAAGATGACCATCCTCCTTTGTTTGATAATACAATTTTTTAAAGTTCAGGGGGGAAAAATAAAGCCATACCGAAACTATAGCGCCTCAGGAAGGCAGCCTGACGTAGTGGAAAGAGCAGAGTCTGGAGAGCCTTAGTTCAAATACTGACTCCACCAGTTATCAGCCTTATGGAGTTACTATCTAACTCTCTAATTCTGTTTACTTCTCTGAGAATTAGGATGCTAACTACTTTTCTTCTTCTTCATCTTATATTTTTTTCCAAATAAGCTTTTAATTTAATTTATATCCATTGTTTTCTAATTCTGCATTATCACTGGAAAAAAAAAACCCATCAAGTAGAAAATGGAAATGTAACAAAGACAAAATAGACAACAGAATACATATGAAAACGGAACCCTGTGAAGGCTTTCTAAGATGATTACTGTTATATGACTAGCTTCCTTTATTGCTATTTATAGTCAATTCTCCATCAACTATGATTTTTATTCTGAATTTTTTTCTTGACAAAATTAGATAAAATAGTCATTCTTTTGTTTATTTTAACTAGGTATTTTTATTGCCATTTATAGTCAATCCTCCATAAACTGACTTTTCTTCTTAATTTTTTCTTAACATTATTTAGTAGTGCTTAATGAGTACAGAGTTTCTGTTTGGGGTGATGAAACTTTTAGTAGTTTTGGTGGTGGTTATACAACATTATGAATGTAATTAATGCCACTGAATAGTACACCTAAAAATGGTTTAAATGACAGTTTTCTGTTTTATATATATATACATATTTTTAAACCATAATTTTTAAGAATAGTAAAAAAAAATTTTTTAATAGAGCTAATAGTATAACACTGGACCTTCTCTTGTTTATTTTCATCAGACCTCTGGTACAGGGAATTATCAAAGCGGAAGTCACAACCATATTCAAATCTAGCTGTAAATACCAAAAAGTTACCATTATCTGACTGCTTATTTTCAAGTGGAATCAAGCCGGCCTTATGTATGGTCTAATTTTACTTTTTTAAGTATAAACTGTGAAGAAGGACCAGAGTACTCCTGTTGAGTCTCCCTGCCTTAAAGGACATTTGTGGTGGGGAATTACTGTTAAATTAACATTGAACTACAACTAAATGGAATAGTCCTTCCTCAAACTCATAATGTGGGGTTTTCCTGTAGATAACACCTAGCTAGAGGTGGAAATTGTATGTATGTACATTTTAAAGTTGTCTTTCCTGTGAAGTTACTTTTTATACATGATGGTCCCCTTTCCTAAAAAATCTATTGGTCTGTTAAGTTATACTGTTTTATAAACCCCAAAAGCTACATATGACTAACAAAACTAGTTTACCTTCCTATGATAATGCTAAACAGATCGTTTCTGAATACTTCCTTCTCCGTTCTGAAAAATATACCTTTAATAAAATCTGCCTGTGTCAGGAAAAGTTTTTAAAATTTCAAAACTGGAAATCACTATGCTTACTACTTCCTTAGTACCCTAAGAATGAAGTTTTGAGCTAAGTAAAATGTCCAGGTAATAGTGGGTTTGCTTATAAGTACAAACTTCTTTTTAATCCAAACACTGTTTATTTCGTGCTTTCAATGTAATTGTATTAGGGATATCTTCATGTGTCAGGTGCTGAGGATAAGTGAGGAATCAGATGAAGTTCTTGGCATTTGGGAACTGCCACATTTGTCCATACTTTTGTGAATATAGGATACAGAACATAATTTCTTAATAACTAAATAATGTTCACGAATAATATTTTTCCTGCCCTCAGGAACCACTGAGGCTTGTGAGCCTGCTTTTCTCCACATCACTGTGCTATCCTGTGAGTCCTTCTCTCCCAAATCTATCATTTCTTCCTGTGAGTGACTCTGCCCCTTACAGATTTCCTTACTGCTTTTCACTCTTTCTACCACTGTGTTTATGGTAGAAATATAATAGTACGTTCTCTCATTGCCAGTTTTCCCCTTTTTTCTTGTATCTCTGCTTTCATTTTCTTGTCGTTTCTGCATTGCTCAGCTCTGGCTTCAGTGCACCTTGGCCTTGATAACCATTACCAGCACGGTGGAAGTGTCTGTTGTGTTTTTTCTTAAACAATTAGTTTCATCACATAAAGTGAAGTTTTTGTATAAAATCTCATAGAGAACTGAAAATATGTACACTAATTTAATTCATTAATATAGAGACATGTGGGGGATGTCCCTGGCAGTCCAGTGGTTAAAACTCTGGGCTTCCACTTCAGGGGGCACGGATTTGACCCCTAGTCGGGGAACTAAGATCCCACATGCTGCATGGCACGGCCAAAAAAAAAAGACGTATAAATGAAACTTTTCTAGGTTTGGGAAGCTTTTCCAAAGCCAGAGTAATTTTGCTAAGTAAAACGATAGCTTAATATCTGAAGCATTGGTGTTCTTTCTTATGTAAAAAAGGTGACATACTGTCATCAAAAGTATAATCTCTGCTGTTTTAAAAAAGCATCAAAAACATTTATGCTCATTTCATAGATTTTTGTTTTTTTAATATTTTATTTATTTATTTGTTTATGGCTGGGTTGGGTCTTTGTTGCTGCGCACAGGCTTCTCTAGTTGCAGTGCGTGGGCTTCTCATTGCGGTGGCTTCTCTTGTTGCAGAGCGCGGGCTCTAGGAGCGTGGGCTTCAGTAGTTGCAGCATGCAGGCTCAGTAGTTGTGGCGCACGGGCTTAGTTGCTCCGCGGCATGTGGGATCTTCCCAGACCAGGCCTCGAACCCGTGTCCCCTGCATTGGCAGGCGGATTCTTAACCACTGTGCCACCAGGGAAGTCCTCATTTCATAGATTTTTTAAGAAAAAAAGTTTATCACATGTAGAGTGTCAGCAAGTTAGAGAGATTCACTTATTTATCCCCTCATTAAGTAATTTTTATATGAGTAACTTCTGTGTGAGTGCCATGATATTACAGTAGCAGTGATTAAAAATTCAGAGAAGGATGCTGTATGTATGAAGCCTCAGTCTAACAGTTGTCTGGTGGCAAGTGTTACCTGTTTGCTGAATTTGAGTATCCCAGTTTTTAGAAAAAGATGAAATTTTATCCCAAAACCCATAATATACTGACATTATTTTTTTTTAATTTTATTTTTTGTGGTACAGGGGCCTCTCACTGTTGTGGCCTCTCCTGTTTTGGAGCACAGGCTCCGGACGTGCAGGCTCAGCGGCCGTGGCTCACGGGCCCAGCCGCTCCACGGCACGTGGGATCCTCCTGGACCAGGGCACGAACCCGTGTCCCCTGCATCGGCAGGTGGACTCTCAACCAATGCGCCACCAGGGAAGCCCCTGACATTATTTTAATGTCAGAATCCAAACCCCTTTTACCCAGGAACCTAGTAATGCTAATAAATCATTGACTTGCTGTGTTCTGGAACGTGGGAGGGTTACATTGTCTTCCCTTTAAACTCTTTAGCTGTTCCTAGCATCAAAACCTTAGAGAGGAAATATGTTATACAAGTTCAAGTTGGCATTAGGATCCAACCTCATATTGCTAATAAAGTACACTCAGCGTACGGTAGGCTGTTTGTTACATGTGTGGGGGTGAAGGAGTTGTTTTGTTTTCTAAATAAGTAACACGTCAAGTATTGGGTAAATTTTACAAAAAGTAATCTATTCACATTGAAAATAGTCATAGTATGTAATTCCGAGGTCCCTTTGTGAGCAGATTTTAGCAACATGATGTGCCATATGGAAATAAACCATTCATTTTTCTTCATTTAACATATGTGTGTGTGATCTGTTTGCAGAGATGTCATATGTTCAGAAAACTATTTTAAATGCTTCAGATTCAAGTGATTTTTGTTTTTAGAAATAATATCCTACTGTGATAGCTGGAGAAGAAGCCACTTTACTACTGCTTGGGTCTTTAAAAAGCTTTCAATCTGAAAGAGGGCAAAATATGTTCCCTACCCCCTCTGTCTTTATTGGCAACATTTACTTAGATATCTTCAGGTCTACCTGTCTCACAAGAAACAAAGTAGGGGAGGACATAGCCTAGAACTTTCTGATGGGGAGAAAGATGAGAGCCCAAAATTGGTTTTGAGTTTGTCTTCAGAGAAGCTGTCTAATCTAAGTGACTTCTGTGCAATATTCATCTCTGTCTCTTGGCCAAGATCAGGAAAGTTAAGTTACATTAAGACAAGCCACTGTGGGATTCTCTTACCAAGTTAAGATGGGAGGCTGGGACTAAGCAGTAGGATTTTATGAAATCATATAGTTAGCTGGTCTTTGGATCTTAGACAAAGGAGGGTCTTAGAAACAGCAGTCATGGTGTCCTTGAATGGCTGTTTTAAGGGGAGCAGGGGAAGTCCAGCTTCCTCACAAAAGAGGAAATATAGTCTTCCAATAACATAAGAAGCTTCATGGAAAATGTTTGACCCAG